TACATAATAAATGTTGGTAGAAAAACATGGTTATCTCACACGTCCCCTTCCTCTTCTCTTCAGGTGTGAGTGGTGTCCGTTTTTGCAGGAGGTGTAAGCTCAGCTCACTGTGGCAACTGCTGCCTCACCCCCCTCCTCCACCTTGCTGCCTTTGCCCATGGCCTTCATGTTGGCCATGATGTCGGTGAACGTCTCCTTCACCGTCTTCTCCAGGATCCAGCCCTCGCTCTCACTCTCCGGGTCCTCCGGGTTAGCCAGCGTGGACAGGGAGCTGTGCACATACTGTAGGCCTATGGTCACAGCAACCTGCAATGGACAGGAACACATATAAGAGATCACAGTAGCATGTTCTGACGAGCAGGAATGAGCATTGAGAATATGCGTTAGAGTCTTGTTTGTGATCATACCACATGAACCTAGAAGAGGAACACGCCAGGGCCCAACAAATTATTGTTATCACAGAACAAAATGAATGGTCTTGGCCCCAAATTGTAACAGATGGGTGGAAAAATAACTTCATACAGACAAATTAACTACAACGGCACTTAAATGAATAAAGATTTAGTCAATAGATCAATGAGTCAATCTGTAGAAAATTAATTGACAGCTATTTCGGTTTGTCTTTTAAGTAACTTTTCATGTAATATTGTCTAACATGTACTGTTTCCTGCGTCTCAAATGTGAGAATTAGCTGCCTTTAAAATCTCAAGTATTAGAACATTTAAGATATTAGGATTTTAGACTATTGGTTGGACAAAACAGGATATAGGATGAACTTCATCACCTTGGGGTCTAGGAAATTGTGATGGCAAATTTTTCACTATGTTATTACCAAACAAATCATCAATAAATTACGAAAATTGGCTGATTTATCTTTAATGAAAATAATTGTTAGTTGCAGTCCTATTTTGAATGTCTTCATAATTCTAATAATTAGTGCAATGTGACATAAAATAAAGAGACGGCATACATAAGACAAAAACAAAATGTATGGACAACAACAGGACAAACAAAGGTTTGAGTTGTCATATGTTATGGTTAT